AGGGCCACTTCTTAATGATTATTATTCAATTAAATAGGAAGATAGAACTATAAAATATGTATGTACTGAATATAAAAAGCCCAAAAAATATAGGAAACAGAAATCTTACAAGTATAAATATATCTTACAAGTTTATATCGATATATCTAAATATAGAGAGAGCAAGAGAGAGAGTGAGGCAGAGATTTTTTAATTGGAGAGAGAGGAAAATGGAGGTGACTTAGTCCTAGATCTTCCAGTTTCCCATATGAAGCTACAAATTTACATTCACAGTGGGGGACTGTAACACATTTCTCTCATTAGATATCTGCTAAATCAAGCAGATTCTTGTCTTCCTAAAAAGTCAATAAAGACACAGTGCTTAGGATCCTAAGATGAATTATTATGATTAATGGACACTTTTAGTATACAGCACCCACCAATGACAGAGCACTTTGTCTTTTTGAGTACGTGGAAATTTTTTTTCAATTTGTATTGCACACACAGCAGTTCATAAAGCACGTTTCAACAAAGTGACAAGTGGTAACACAGGCTGGTCTTTCTGACCTGGCTAACTCCAGCCCAGAGTCATTTCTTCATCTGTTATTTGGGTGTGGTCTGGACTCTTAAATTCTACCTTTTTTTTTTTTTTAAAAAAAAGAGATTATCTTTCAGAAACCTAAAGTTCTTTGGGTAAAATTAATGCAAGCTCCTCCGGGGGCATCTTAAAGTGATGAAAAAAAGACACTGGGAAAATAGACTATCTATATGACCAATAGCGAGCTCTGGTGGCCTAAGGCAAGAAGCTGCACTGCAATCCCGAAGGCATGTGATTTGAGGCCACCAGGTGCTCTGTGAGAGGATAGGCAATCTTCTCCTGTGTGATTACCTGCCTCTGAAAACCCTCCCGAGGGTCAGCTATGGGTCGGTTCACAACAGTACATGATGACAACAACAACAACAACAACAACAACAACATATGACCTATAGGTCACATCATGATAGATGGAGAAAAGATTAAAGTTGTCACTGATTTTATTTTACTTGGATCCACAATCAATATCCATGGTACCAGCAGTCCAGAAATCAAAAGATGTTTTGCACTGAGAAAGTCTGCTGTCAAGGACCACTGCAAAGTGCTACAGTGCAAGGCTGTCAGTCTGAAGAAGATGAAGATGTACCTGATTCAAACCATGGGCTTTTCAATTGCTTCCTATGCATCTGAAAGTTGGGCAATAACTAAGGATGACAGAAGAAGAATCCATGCCTTTGAATTGTGGTGTTGGAGAAGGGTACCAAATAGTCCATGAACTACCAAAAGAACAAACAAATCTGTCTTGGAGGAAGTGTAACCAGGGTGCTCTTTGGAAGGAAAGATGGTGAAAATAGGTCTAGTATGCTTTGGGCATGTTGTCAGGAGGGGCTAGTCCTTGGAAAAACACCATGCTAGGAAAAGTGGAGTGTCAGAGAAAGAGAGGAGAATGCTCAACAAGATGGACTGACACAGTGACTGGAATAGCAGGCTCCAGCACATCAGTGATGGTGAGGTTGGTGCGGGACAGGCCAAGGTCAGATCTGTTGTTCATAGAGTCACTATGAATTGCAGTTGGCTCGATGAACTTTGGTGGCCTGTTATTGGTATTGCTGATTGCCTTCGAGTTGAGCATGATTCATAGAGACCCTATGAACAAAAGACCTATAGCCTTTCTATAACTATTCTCGTTTCTCAAAGTTCATAGTTTCCAGAGGCATTTTGTTTAGGAAATGGATGCCACTCTTGCTTCCAAACCTGTCTTAAACTGGGAGCTCCACCAAACACTGTCTACCATGGGTAACCATTATGGCATTTGACACCCGAATGACACAAGGTTCAGCATCACAGCAACCCCAGGTTACCTCAGTACAGCAAATTGACAGAAGAGTGCTGTACCACTTAGAAGAATGTTCCTCCAAAATATGTAACAACCAACTTTAAATACAAAGGCCTTCCCTGAGGTCTTGTTGACCCTAAACAGGAGGCTTAAATAAAAAACCAAGCAATATAGTATGTTGTTGTTGTTATGCTGTTGAGTCACCTGCCATGTATAGTGACCGTACGTACAGGAGCTCTAAATACTTCCTAGTCCCCAGCCAGTCTCAATAATTCTGACACACCAACCCTCATTGCCCCAGACACTATGTTGCAATTGCCAAGTCACACAGTTCGAATCCACCTGTGGGAGAGGCATGGGCAGTCTCCTTTCGTATAATTTACTGCCTCTGAAAACACTTTGGAGGGTCAGCTATGGGTCAGTTCTGACCTGACAGCACACAACGATATCTTTACCAGCTGCTGTCAAATGAATTTGTACTCATGGGAGTGCTACGTGCATCAGAGGAGAGCTGAGCGCCATAGTGTTTTCACTGGCTGATTTTTCAGAAGTAGCTCACCAGGTCTTACTTCTGAGTGAATTTGAACCATCAACCTTTCTTTCTCTTAACACTTGAGTGTGTTAACCACTGACACAACCTAGGAACTACAGAACTAATAGAAGGGGAAAGAAAGTTTTTGTCATTTTGAAATTAAGCTACAAACAGTTGTGATCAAGTTAGTTCCGGTTGATGGTGGCTCCACTGGGCCGCAGAGAGAGGCTTCATTCAATGGGGCTTTCCCAGCCATGAGCTTTTAGAAGTAGCCATCAGGCCTTTCCCCCAGGCACCCTGGATGGGTTTGAACTGCTAACCTTTTGGTTAGTATGTGAATGCTTAAATTTCTATCACTAAGGAACTAAATGAAAGTTATGGAAAGACTTCTTAAAATAAGACCTCCAAATCAGACACTCAACAAACAGAGATAGAGAGAAAATGACTGTGTGAAAATGAAAATGAAAAATTTAATTTCAATGCCAACATACCAGGGTTATGGGGTCCCAGCAGGAAAGAGATGGCCCACTGGACGTCGGAATTGGATGGTGTTTTAATATGGGGACCATTTACAAAGGTGTGAGTAGGCTTAGGGAAGCTGAAAAGAAAGGAACTGGAGGTAACTTACAGGCCTACTGATAGGAAAAATTGATATGCAATATGTGAAGTATTTGCCTGATGGGTTACTGTCCAGCAATGTAGATAGACCTAAAAATAGCCTTGTGTGAAAAAAGTGAAAAATAGAATGTGTTCTTTGCTCTTGAGTCAGAACTGACTCATAGCTGACCCTCCAAAAGGTTTTCACAAGCAGTAAATCTAACAAGAGTTTACCACCCATTTTTCTTCCACAGAGCAGTTGGTGTTTTGAACTATGAGCCTTTGGGTTAGCAGTGCAGTTCCCTTCCACTAGGCCACCAGAGTACAGTAACATTTATTAAAATTAAAAATATGGACACACAATTAACTAAATAATTATCAAAGATCCATATATTTTCAAGGACATACATCAAACTCATTCAAGTGGCTGCTTATGGAGGGAGGAGAGAAGAAGGCAGGACAGTGGGTGAGCTGATGCTGAAAGTGAGCTTGGAATTGAGGAGTGGGTCACTCAAACTTTACTGCAGGTCCAGAAGTAAAGCTATCTTTGCACTGTGCTATGCCATCCCAGTGATTCACAGGGTCCTAAGTGGAGAAAGATGACAAAGGTTTCCACTAAAGACAGGCTCGGGTAAGATGGTGGAGGAAACACCACCAGTATTCAAGATCCTCTTCAACCAAGATACCAGAAAATAGAAATGGATGATAATTCCTCAACTCTGAGTTTAAAAAGAAAAACAAATCACTTTAAACATCTGCTGAAGGAAGAAACTAAATCAAAGTAACAAGTAAGGGGACAGATGGAATGCAGAACCATGAACAGTGCAGCAAGGCCACTTTGAACAGCTGCCTGACTGATATGAGAAGCTGGGACTGTGGGGGTATCCACACATCTGGCTAGCTGGTGACGGGAAAGGTATGATCTCTCCTCTTGCTCCCTATGTCCTCTGGAGATGAGGAGAATGGCTCCTTCCACTACCCAGCATCTCTGCTTTGGGGAATTTCTCATTATGCATATATGTTGTTGTTTCAACTCATAGTTGACCCTCCAGTGAGTTTTCAAGAGGCTGTAAATGGCACAGGAGTAGATTGCCCATTTTTCTCCCTCAGAGAAGCTGGTGATTAGAACTGCATGCCTTTGGGTTGGCAGCACAACTTCTTATTCACTAGATCACCAGAGCTCCCTTAGGGGTAAAGGTGGCTATGAGAAGCATATTCTTCCTCTCATATTTCTGGTGCAGCTTGATGTTGTTGTTACATGCCATTGAGTGGAGTATACCTCACAGTGATCCTGTGAGCAACAGATCCGAACCCTGCCCTATCTAGTGCCATCTTCTTTAAAATTTTATTATTTTTGTGGTACCATCAGATCAGATTTGACTGGTACAGGAGGAGATTGTCCCTCCTTCTCCAGCAGAGCATCTGGTGGATTTGAACCATGCACCTCTGGGATTGCAGTGCAGTTCCCTGCCACTAGGACACCAGAGCTCCCTTATTCTGTTCCATCTTGATCATCTCTGACACACTTGAGCCCATTGTTGCTGTCACCATTGCCAATCTATCTTGCTGAGGGTCTTCCTTTCTTTCACTGACCCTTCATCTTTCCTAGCACGATGTCCTTTCCAAGGAATAGTCTCTTCTAGTGGGTGTAGCTGGCAGTGGACATGTGTTATAGGAGCTGTTGCTCACTGGACCCTCTGCTCAAATGTTGAGCCTTGAGTGCATGGTTCAATTTCATGGTGATAATAGTTTCAGGGGGAGGTTATATCATTATGGCCTTTAAGAAATTGTTAAACGAAAAAATGCAAGCTGTGAGATAACATACAGTTTGATCATTTCACTTTTAGAAAATGATCTGAGAAGCTGAGCTATAAGAAGAATAGGACATCAGGATCCAAGGAAGACTCATTAAGAACCTGTGATATGGCCCCTGGCCTCCGCCTTACCGTCTCCCGGCCGCGCGCAACAGGCCGTGCTGGGAGGTTTACATCGTGTCACTGCTTTGCATTGAAGACACAATGATGCCAAAGAAAGCAAAGCCTGCTGGGAGTGGGAAGGAAGAGGAGCCTGTTCCCTGTAAGCAGGTGAAGGTGGAGACAGCTGTTGTGCCGTTCCCTCTGAACTTTGACAGTCCTAGTGACCTCTTTGAAAGTTTAATCTCACCTATCAAGATAGAAACTTTTTTCAAGGAATTCTGGGAGCAGAAACCCCTTCTCATACAGAGAAATGCAGTGGCCACATATTACCAATCCTTGTTCAGGCTGACAGATCTGAAGAGTCTGTGCAGCCAGGGCATGTACGATGGGAGAGACCTAAACGTCTGCCGGTGTGTCAATGGGAAGAAGAAGATTTTAAATAAGGATGGCAAAGCACACTTTCTTCAGCTGAGAAAAGATTTTGATCAGAAAAGAGCAACAATTCAGTTTCACCAACCTCAGAGATTTAAGGATGAACTTTGGAGGATCCAGGAGAAGTTGGAATGCTACTTTGGCTCCTTGGTTGGCTCAAATGTGTATATCACTCCCTCAGGGTCTCAGGGGTTACCACCCCGTTATGATGATGTAGAGGTTTTCATCCTGCAGCTGGAAGGAGAGAAACACTGGCGCCTCTATTGTCCAACCGTGCCCCTGGCTCGAGAGTATAGTGTGGAGGCTGAGGACAAAATTGGGAAGCCAACACATGAGATCACGTTGAAGCCAGGTGATTTGCTCTACTTTCCCAGAGGGAACATTCATCAAGCAGACACTTCTCCAGGACTGGCCCACTCATCAGCACCTATCAGAACAGTTCATGGGGAGATTTCCTTTTGGATAACATTCCTGGGCTTGTGTTTGACACTGCAAAGGAAGACATAGAGCTACATGCTGGCTTACCTCCGCAGCTGCTTTTGCAGGTGGAAAGCAAAACTCTTAGAACAAGATTAGGTGGGTTTCTGAGGATGATTGCAGATCGGCTGGTGGGCACCAAAGAACTGTTTTCATCGTACATGAAGAAGGATTTTGTAACGAATAGACTACCACCTTACCATGACGGAGACGGAGCAGAGCTTTCCACACCAGGTGGATCATTACCACGATTGGACAGCACTGTGAGATTACAGTTTAAAGAGCACATGGTCCTCACAGTAGGGCCAGATCAGGATCAATCTGATGAAGCTCAAGAAAAAATGGTTTATATCTATCACTCCTTAAGAAATAGCAGAGACACGCACATGATGGGGAATGAGGATCCGGAGTCTCATGGACTTCGCTTTCCTTTATCACATATGGATGCACTGAAGCAAATTTGGAACAGTTCAGCTATTTCTATCAAGGACCTGAAACTTCCTACAGATGAGGAAAAGGAGAGCCTAGTATTATCCCTCTGGACGGAATGTTTACTCCAAGTAGTCTAGCAGGAGAAGGATGGGCAGTCTCCTCCTGTGAGATTAACTGCCTCTGAAAAACTGCCGCCGGGTCAGCTATGGATCGGTTCTGTCTCAATGGAACACAACAACAACAGTCTAGTGTTTATGTAAATGAATAGTAGGCATTTGGTTCTACAAATTTTTAAAAAGAAAAGGTAGGAAGACACATGGTGGGTAGCAAGAATGGTTGTATAAGAACCAAGAAGGTGGAGTTTCCTTCCCTCTGCATCCACCAGCACTCAAACTCCGTGCTGCTGGTGGTCAGCTGGGTCAGACGTGAAGAGAGAAGCACAGTTCCAGGTGTTCCATAGAGTGACAAAACTGTACCTTTTGGAAAGTTTATTTACTCCAGTATGGTAGAAAAGGCACAATTCCAATAAACGTATCATTTAAATGTAAAAAAAAAAAGAACCTGTGATATGCAAAAGATACAATCCTGCTTGCTGAAAAAGGACTTGTAGCACTAATTTAAGTAGATAAAAGACTACAGCTTTCAACAGGGATTACAGATCAATATAAAGAAAACAATAATCTCCACAACGGGACCAGTAAGGGACAGAATCATAAATAAAAAGAAGATTGAAGTTATCAAGAATTTAACTTGACTTGTTGTCTTGTGTAGGGTAGAATTGTAATCCACTGTTAACTGGCCTTCTAGCGGGTTTTCAGAGGAAGGGGAGGAGATTGCCCATCCTTCTGCTGTGGGGCAGCTGATGGCCTTGAACAACAAGCCTTTGGAAAAGCAGTGCAGCTTCTTGTCACTATGCCATTCCCTTAAGAGAAGTTAAGAAATCAAAGGAGACTTGCAGTGGGATAGTAAACTAGTTAGACCAGGAAACCTTTTTTTCTTCTGCAGGTACAGTGAAAAACACAGAAAGGTGGCTATGAACAATAATCCTAAAACACTGAAGTCTGGGAGAATTTATTGAATGCAAAATCAGACCCGGATGGAGAGAGGAAGCTGGAGGAAAACACTGATTAAAGAGACTAGTGAGAGAGTTCCTCAATCTGATCTGAGCATACCCTTTCCTCTGCCCCTCCCCAACAGGCTCTCAGGATCACCAACAGAAGAGACCCACCAGTGTCTGGCTTCATCAAGGACATGACTTTATTCCCTCCCTTCCTTCCTTCCTTCCTTCCTTCCTTCCTTCCTTCCTTCCTTCCTTCCTTCCTTCTTCACTCCCTCCCCTCTTCATGTTCAACCAGCAGAAGTACCTCTCAACTGAATAGGTAGGACTTCCTCAATCCACTTCTACAGAGCAAGCTACAGATGCAAAGCATGGGAGCCTCAGAAAACATGGACTGGCTCTACTGTAAAAGTCAACTGTATATCATAAAGATGGAATTTCAATTAAAAAAAACTGTATATCAGCCCACAGATCACACCCACTATGATCCTGTTATACAGCACTATGATCCTGTTATACAGCACACCTAACATCAGCCTAGAAGCCTCACTCCCTCTTGCCTGCAGTCTCCTAACCCCAGGAATCCAGCAAACAATGACTGGCTTTATTGGGGGATATTTATAACATACTTAGGCTATGCTCATTGGTAGGCTCCCTTCCTCATAGCATTTGGTAGTAACCTACCAGCCCCCTGTGATGCCCACTTACAGCCTTAGACCCACTCCATATGTAACCATGCCCAGTGCTGGCCTCACAGCCTAGGGCTGTGCACACAATGGCCCAGAGTTAACGGACTGCTAGCAACCTCAGTGATTTAGAGATTCACTGGTTTACAGAGAGACTCTGATTCACAGTGATTTAGAGGTCAGTGACTCAACTGGCCTACTATACACAGGTGCAATGGTTCAAAAACTTCTTCGCTGGCACTGTGGAAAGGCAATATTTTGCCAGCTTCAACGATGAACCTGTTCTTAAATCGCAGTTGTCAATTCAGCAAAGTGACAGGGTACAGATCAATATACAGAAATCAGTCAAATTTCTCTATAGTAAAACAGAGATGACTGAAAAAGAAATTAAAAATACATGCCAATTACAGTAGCCACCCAGAAGATGAAATACATACAAACAAATCTAATCAGAGACAAAAAAGTCCTATATAAGTAAAATCACAGACCATTATGACAAGAAACAAAAAGACTTATACAAATGAAAGAATATATCATTGTCAAGGATGTTAAGACTTAATACTGTGAAAATGACAATTCTACTAAAAGAAGTCTGCAGGTTTAATGTAATCCCAGTGCAGATTAAAGGCCTTTCTTCAAGGAAATGAAAAAGACAATTTCCATCTTTATTTGGAAAGGTAAGAGATCTTAGAATAGCAAAGCTCTACTGAAGAAGGCAAACAAGACAGGAGGCACCACACTTCCTGATCAAAAAACCTATTGCATCCCCAAATCTCTGTAAATGTTCATGAAAATGAATAAAATTTAATAAAAAAAATCCCCCCCAAACCAAAACCTATTGCATAGCAAACACCAAAGGTTAGCAAGATTGTGGAGAGATTGGAACTCTTATTCACTGTTGGAGGAATGTACAGCCACTATGGAAGGTGGCCTGGCATTTTCTCCAAAAGTTGGAGATAGAAATACCATTTGACCCAGCAATTACACTACAGGGAATATACCCTAGAGAAACCAGAGCCATGACTCAAACAGATGTATATACATCCGTGTTTATTCTGCGTTATTCCAATATCAAAGAGATGGAAGCAACCTAAATTATATCAACAAGTGAATAGATAGAAAAACTATGGTTCATTCACATACTATGAAATATTATGAAACTTTGAAAAACAATGAACTCGGAAAACATTACATAACACGGGGGAGCCTGAAGGACATTATACTGATTGAAATTTCTCAGTCACAAAAGGACAAATATTGCATAATACCACTGTTATAAAATAGGACAGATAGGGGAAGGGGGCTTGGGAAAAAATGGGGAAAATAGTGGATAGATAATGAATACTACATTAGAACAGAGGAGGGGAAGAACTATCTGAAAGGAACATAAGATAAGGCATTATATGTATGACAATAATCTGGAACAAGGGATGCTTTGCTGGGTGTGCTGGGGAGGAGGTAGGTAGGGAGGGAAAAGTGTGCAACAGTAAATAAAAACCAAACAAAAATTAAAAACTAAACAAAAAACTCGACTGCACAGCTATGGTGCTAGTACAGTAAGCAATAGACATTTAGACCAGTGGAAAAACATGGAGAACCCAGAAATCCATCCATCCATCTATGGTCAACTCATTGTTGACAAGGAGATGAAACCTATTAGATGGAGAAACGATTATTATCGATGGAGAGTTGGCAAAGGATCAAACCAGGTGAATTGATATGGTGACTGCTGCAATGGGCTGCGTGACAGGAAGTGTGAGAATGGCATAGGTTAGAGCAGGGTTCAGATCTTTTGTTCATAGGGACGCTATGAGTCGTACTGCTCTTGACAGCACTTAATAACAAAAACAACCCAGCACTTCAACATTTCCACAAAATAATGTGAAAAATTAAAGAACAATATCACTAATATCACATGCAAGCCAATATCTTGCTGAAGATCATCTAAAACAGCTAGTACATAAACAAAGAATTGCCAGAAGGTCATTTCAGGTTTAGAAGAGACTGTGGCATTAGAAGGATCCTGGCCAAGAGCAGAGAATTCCAGAAGAATGTCTGCTGTGCTCTACTGACAAATGCAAAGGGATTTGACTGTGCGGATCATAACAAACTATGGCTGACATTGAGAAGAATGGGAATCCCAGAACAATCACTTTTCCTCATATGAAACCTATACTAAGAAACTGCTTTCCGAACAGAGTAAGGGAACACTGCAAGATTTAAAATCAGGAAAGGTACTCTGCTTTTTGCCAAGATCCATCTAACATTAGCTATAATATCTGTAGTACAACGACCTCTTCTAAACCCAGCCTGCACATCTGGCAGTTCTCTGTTGATATGTTGCTCCAGTTGTTTTTGGATAAATTTCAGCAGAATCTTGCTTTCATGTGCTATCAATTATATTGTTTGATAATTTCCGCACTCTGTCAGGTCACCTTTCTTTGGAATGGGAACAAGAGATTTCACAGTAATTACACTTTGGTTGTGGTGTCAGGAGGGACCAGTTTCTGGTGAAGGACATGGTGTTGCTGGATGAGTTGCTAAGACAACAGTAGGAACAGCAGATCTGAACACTCTTGTATCCTGTGTCCTCTTCACCTCTGACACACTTGAGCCCATTTGCTGCAGTCACTATGCCAATCCATGTAGTTGAAGGTCTTCCTCTCTTTCACTGACTGTCCACTTTTCCAAGCATCATGTTCCTCTCCAAGTAATAGCCTCTCCTAGCAACATGCCAAAAGTATGTGAGCTGAAGCTTTGCAATCTTTGCCTTCCAGGAACACTCTGGCTGCACTTTATCCGGGACATATCTTTTTGTTCTTTGGCAGTCCATGGGATATTCAGTACTTTTCTCCAATATCACAGCTCAAAGGCATCAGTTCTTCTTCTGTCGTCCTTATTCAATGTCCGGCTCTCAGATGCATAGCAAATGGGATTATGGCCTGAATCAGATGCACCTTAATCCTCAAACTGACAATTAGTGCTTCTCAGTAATTTGAAGAGGTCCCTGGCTGCAGATTTTTTCCAGGGCAATATGTCTCCTGATTCCCTGACTGCTAGTATCAAGGGTGTTGAATGTGGATTCAAGTAAGATAAAATTGTTGACAGTTTTAGTGTTTTCTCCATTTATCATGATGCTGGTGGGGAGAATTTTTGTTTTCTTGATGTTGAGATGCAATCCATACTGAAGGCTTCATTCTTTGATCTGCAGCAAGTGCTTCATGTCTTCTCTGCTTTCAGCAAGCAAGGTCATGAAATCCGCATATGCAGCTTGTTGAGGAGTCTTCCTCCGATTCTGAAGAAGTTCTTCATAGAGTTCAGCTTCTCAAATACTTTGCTCAGCAAACAGATTGTATAGGTACAGAAAGAAGATATAACCCTGACACACAACTTT